TATGGCAGTTGGCAATTACGCATTCACACACAGGGGACCTTGACCCATAAGGACAGTAATCTATGAGAGCAATAAAAGCAGTTTCAGTAACCTAATTCTGCAAAAGTCATTCAGGTAGTTTTGTAAAAGTTGAACTAATGTGTTTAAAAAGTATGCCAAGGTTTTAGAAATTAGTCACAAATGAGCAAACATTGTACACATCTTTCTAAACAAATTAAAATGTCAGCTCCATTCACTGTTACACAAACAGTCTGAACACATTTGCAAAATTGACTGCATGGGAATTTATTCTTAGCAAACAATTTGTAGACATTAGCAAATTAATTTCCCACTGTCTCATAGGGCTTAGTCCAAAAAAGCACCCATCATTTTTGATGCCTTTTAGAAAACTGAAGAGCAAAATTGTATTGATTAAATGAAGAATGAGATTTTCTGCATTTTCTTATTAACGAAATTTCTGGCTTACAACACTACTTTGCTGCTCTAAAGCCAAGAAACAGACCTCTGTGAAGTCACTTGCTCAACCTGTGATGTTTGTTCCTTCTTTGAAAAGTTGCCCAAATTACAGTGGTCTTACAGTTTTTAGAAGGTAAGGAATATAGCTAAAAAGTACTATAGCGAACAGGTATGTTCCCTTTATCAGCAAACTGATGTTACAAGCAGACATACAGAAGGAATGACTATAAAGATTCACACAAACATTAAGCTCAGAGCTTCTTGGCAGAGATGAGAAAATGCATTTTACAGGAAAAGGATCCTGTGGATGGAGAAAGGTATATGGAGGTTAGGAAGATCAGAAATAGCTTTGTAAAACATAAACTGGATGAGGCCTGTGGTCATTTTGGTAGGTAGAACAACTCAACAGCAGCTTCAGAGACTGTGGATTCAATGGTTAGGTGATGCAAACTGCAGGTGATGAAGATGAAAATGGAATTAAGGGATTAGATGATGCATTCATGCTCCAAATTGATATACAAAGCAAACTATCACTCTTCACTTGCATACAGAAGCTTGGGAAAACTATCCTTTCCTAGGGTAAAGCTAAACTCTGTGATTTCACTTTGAGGTTGCTGATCATTTTTGTGAGCATAAAATTTTACTGGCCATATACTCCATGTGTCTTCTTGACAGAGATATTCAGAGAAAAATCTGAGAGATCTATCTCTAGGCCGATTAATATCTGAACTTTCTGGAAAGTTCTCCTTGCCATGAGGGCATTTGAATCTCATTGTTTAAACTGAAGTGGCATAGTGCTTCAGAAATCAGAGATGCTTGAGAATACAACCTTTTTGAAAGAGATAATAGGAACATTGTCAGTATTAAACCCTATATTGCCTTTTGAAATAGGTTTTAAGAAAATAGCATAAATAGAATAAATAAAAATATCGTTAAAGAACACAGAAATGAACTGGAGGACTCGGCCACACATTTCAGAAGAGAACATGCTTTGAAACTCACAACACTTTTCCAGACTGTCATTCTGTTTCAAGAGCTCTGATCCTGTCTCCAGTAAACTAGTAAGGGCTACTTTATTGTCAAGTGGCTCTCTTAATTTAGATATCATTATTGCTGGATGTATATATATGTCATGAATATTGAAGCCCAGACGTCAAACAAGATTCAAGTCAGCTTGACAGAAGGTGCTGTAGTCCACTTTCAAGTCAGAGGAGCCAAGAAGATCATTCCAACATTGATGCAAGGGCTGGTAGGATCTCAACAAAATTGTTGTTAATGGTCAGGGACTATGCAAACCTCCTTTTAAGGTAAAAACATAATAGCCTCAGCACAAAAGTTAGCATAGAAAACTTCTTGCAAAAATACTACCTCTGGTGGTCTGCAGTTTAGAATAATGCTTATGATTTGAAATTTATTTTTCTAAGGCAAGAAAAAAAGTTGAGGCTTTCTTCAGTTAACATTAAAATAAATTATTTGAGATTGATTCAAAAGAGAACTTTTCTCAAATAGTTTTGCCATGTTCACAAAAACATAAATTTATAAAATTTTGTAATGATTATGCCTGTGCAAAGAATATGGCACATTTCAGAAATAATTTATAGGACCATAAAAAGACATTTTCATCAGAATTGCTTTTTTTTCTCAATATTCCATATAAAAAAGGAGAAAAAAATAAAGTTTTCCATCAAAGCAATTTAAGACTCATTGTTAAATATTATTTTAGTTCTCCATTTAGCTCTTTCAAAGCCTGGAAAAAAGGGCTTTCATCATCAAAAATTCTAACAGCCATATTAATCCTAGATACTATTTATTTATTGATTCAAATGTTGAAGAAAAGTAAATCAAAATGTTGCTCAGGAAAGCCAAGATTTTCAATAAGCATTTTGGTTTTATTATTTAAGCAAGTGGAATTAAATTCACTCAACGTTAACATTATTAGAAATGTATCAGGCCTGTGAAGGCAAAGAGCTTCCTTATTCTGTGTTCTGAAAGTAAAAGATTTGCAATAATATTAAGATTTTTACCGTAGTAATTATTACTTATTTTGTTGCTGCACGATTTTAACATTGCTCTGTTCAGTTAAAGATGCTCCCTATTCTTTAGTGCAGTGGAATAAATCCCAAGAATTGCAACACAATATTTCCTGCTCATCCTTCAATGGCAAGAGGAAAGTACGGTTCACGTTGCACACAGGAAATTCAAAATTTCACTGTGCTGATTTACAAATAATAATTGTCTTATTGGAATAATTAATAATGGAAGCCACTTGCTTGCTTCACTAGTCTCCACAGTGTCTAAAAGCTCATCGTGCTCCTGGAAACCTTAACATATCTAATTCCTGCTTTACACCGCAAACACCAGAGCTGAAATCAAGAGATATTCTTACACTTTGTTCCCTCTACCCATGGTACAGAGGTTCTTCCTTCACCCACATCCAGACCAACACCAAGGGGCCGGAGGAGCTGGAAGCTATAAACACTGACTGCCTTTAGATCCTGGGGGAGACCAGGGAATGTTTTACTTCAAGAAAAGCTTTTACGGGAAGATGAGGAGTGAAGTGACAATCCTGGGCACTGTAATAATGGCCAGAGCAGAAGATGATGAGTGAAATAAATGTAACTAATTAAGAAAATGAAGGATTTCAGAATAGCTGTATGAGGCTATGAGCATTAAATGGTTCAGATCTCAAAGCAGTTGACCACTGTGTTCATAGCCAATGGCCCCTAATGATGTTATGTGTTTTTAATAATGAATGAGCAAGATTTTCTTCCAAAAGAAGCAGTATTGCCAGTCATAGCTACTAACCAGCTGTGTAGCAAAGATACTGTTTTGATGAGACTGTGACTAAAAACCGCAAAAACAAACAAGCAAATATAAGATTTTTTTAAGATGATCTGGATAAGAAGGCTTTTTTTTTTTTTTTAGGAAAAGCTTTTTTTAAGATTTCCTAGAGGGACTGGCAGATGCTTGTACAAGGTCTTTTAAAAGTTACAGCTCTGTTCTACTCTCTGCTGGCACTGGCTATACATCAGCTCTTCATCTTTAATTTCTGTCAAGTGAGCAACGCTATCAGCATTGTTTTTTCTCTTTTTTAAAATAATATTCTGGAAAAATGCATCTATCTCCTCAAATATTTGACATGTGTGATATAGTGCATTGAGATTCGATGAGACCACTTTATTTTCTCACATTTCTCCTTTATTGATTTTTTTCCCCAAAATTAAACACACAGTCTGCATGTGGAAAAAATATATAAAGAAGTTGTGCATTTGATGATGTACTTATTTCAACATCTCTTAAATTTAAGTTTCATCCAATCTTCCTGAAAAGTTCAGTGTGGAGCATATGAAGGAAAACCAAAAAAAAAGATGGATGCTTGATATGCATATTTTGGTAACGATCAGAACTTGAAAAACACTTACAATTGTGTTAATTCCCATATATTTTTAAGATAGAATTAGTTTGGGACTTCTTGTTTGTTTGTTTTAGCTTTTAGCTGTTTAGACCTCACTAGAACAATAATACTGGAATAACTGGATGCTCATATACGAACAAAGGTGGTCGCTTCACTTCCTAATTCCCTTTACCAATTATAGTAAATAGATTTTATAAAGTGAATACTGTTGCCAAACAGAAAATCTAATTTAGTAACCTTAGCTGACTGAGTATCTAAGATAAAGTTCTGAGATGACAGAAATTATTCCAGAGGTTTCAAAATCCTGGGATTTTGTCCTTACTGTTTTGTATTATGGTAGGGAATGGGAATGCTGCCTAACTTTCTGATGCCTGCATTCCTCTCAGCTTGCTCTCCAGGAGTTACTTTTGAAAGGAAGGACTTGAAATATGAACCTGCAACCTCCTATAACGTCTCTGTATTAATCCTTAATATTAAAAAAAATAAAATTTCCTATCATTTTCTTAATATGAGTTCCCAGAACACGAGATTCTTCAAGAAAAGTGCTCACATGCCCTGACAATACAGCAAGAAATACTGTACTCTTCCTTGTAATGGGCTCCAATAATCCCCTGCTGGACAAGAAGAAATAAGAAATAGTGACATGATATTCAGATGATGACAATGTGTCCTCTGCAATTTAAAATCACAATGTCTCTCTTTCACTCACTCTTTCTCTCTCTCTCTCTCTGATACACCTTTTAAGGAGGGGGGCAACTCTTTTGCCTGCCACAAAAAACTTGCACTGTTCAATTTCCATTTGATACTTTAGTGCAGCTGAACTCTGATTTCCACGAGAATCTTAGTGCATCATGAATCCCCGCAGTAGGGGGTATCTTGAGATATTTCTAAGTGCATTGGTACCTTTGTTAAAAAGTCATGATGTAATTTTTCTCTTTCTATGAGAGTCTCCAGGCATTTATTTTGGCTGTCAGAGATTTTTGTTCTTCTTGCACACATGAACTGCACCATGCGTTTCACTACTATGGACAGAAGCAACTTGATCTACACACTAATCTATGAACAAATGAGGAATGCATAAACCAAATGCTAGAAACTCCAGCAAATACAATGAGTTTATTTAGTAAAAGGTACATTATTCCAGGAATGCTTCATCGTAAAAGACCTTGTGCCGCACTTACCAAACCACTAGTGATATCAGTTGTTAGTACTAATTTTTTTTGTATAGAGCAGTTTCCAAAAGGTAAATGAATTACAATTTTATTTTTCCCAAATCCTATTTATAAATGTGAAGAAAACCTGACAAATAGCTATGGAAGAAGACATACACTGGTAATTTTGTTAAAGAATAATTTCTGGACAAGAATGTGAATTAATTTGTGCAATGAAACCTTGCATTCTAAAGTGGTATCCTTAATATTCTGCATATTTGCATTTAAGACATTGGATTTTCAGAATGCAAATTAGAATATTTTGATTAATCACATGTTGTAGCAAGAAGGAAGAAATGCCAAATTAAGCCTCAATATTTCCACAAGATAGAATGCTCAAAACGCACAGCAAAAAAATTCCAAATATTGAAGGATTCTCAACATTCTCAGCACGTCGTGTTCTGAATGAACATTTTATTTTCTTGTCAGTGATTCAGAATTTCCACTGCTACTCTTCAGTGACTAGGAAAAAATCATACCAACTGGGATAAAGCTTTTTTTTAAGGTTGAAGGCATGAAATAAGCACCAAGAAGACAATTGTACACCTGTTTTCAAAAGTAAAAAGGCATATCAGATTTGCTTTGCTTTTGAAAATTTGGCCAAGGAGTATATTTCAGAGGCCCAATAGCCCACAACATTATTCCCAGTGTTCTATTCTGCATGCCTAATTGGGCTTCTACACATTTGCATAAGCATGATGCTTCATGATTAATGTATAAGTCACAGCATGGAGCTCTAAACCAATTCATCTGTAGATCCCTCTCCCCACCCATACTGCAAACAATCAGTGTGCCTAAACTGCAGTTCGTTGTATTTGTAGATATGGCTATGCTATCAAAAATCAAACTGCATAAGTTTCCTTATAAAGTCTTACTGAGTTGTAAACTTATTTTATCTAAATATAATGCTAACAAAAACTGTTAAATGTTATACAGCCTCTGGCATTTATACTTCCTATGACTTATTACAGGTTTTTTCCATCTTAAATTTAAGTGTCAGAGCTACGGCTTTGTTCTGGAAATTATACCAGATCACATGAAAAACAAAGGCTGCATCAAACTGATAATCTAATAATTACTTTTCATTATTACTCTTGGGGTAATGTTAACCTAGAGTGAACTAGAACTTGCTGTTCAAAAAGAGCAACATGTTAATAATTCAGCAACACTTCCACTCACAGTCAAATTATATGGGAAAATTCCTCAAAATGTTAGCAAAGATCTGATGAATAAAAGCCAGAGGATGCTACACTGAGTGCCAAAAAAACCTAAATCCAATCCTTTATGGTTAAGCAGTGCAGGCTTATTGAGTTCTCTTGAGAGACTACCAGCTGATACATGTTCTTTTTGCCACAATTACTTGCAATAAACTGGTGACTTATCTTAGAGGATCTTCCACTCAAGCTTAATTTGCTAAGGTCATAATGGCAAAAATTCTACTACTGTAACTATTATTTAAAGAATCTATCCTAATGCCACAAACAGCACATGTGGAGCGTGATTTATCTTCATACATCATTATCCTGGCTTAACAGAGAAGGCTATCAAATGCAATATTATTGGGAACAGAATCACAGAATGCCAGCTTGGGTCTGAAATTTAAGCCATTCTGTTTCTTACATCATTGGTGGTTTATAAAAACAAAAGTAAAATAAAAAATCCCTACACTCAGAACTTAGTTTTAGAATAAAGTTGCTGTACTACAGAATCACAGAATTGTGTAGGTTGGAAGGGACCTCTGGAGATCATCTAGTCCAACCTCCCTGCTCAAGCAGGGTCCTCTAGAGCATATTGCCCAGGAACATATCAAAGGAGGGTGACATGGAAAAACAACTTGATCTTCTAAATCCAAAGACACTGGTGAGCAAAGTTGCAAGGTCACTGATTCAAACCAGGGGGTTTCAAAACAGTTTCTAACGGTGCTTACCCACAGTTCAACAGCAAGAGTAAAAACATGACTGGACTAAACAGTCTACTCATACAGAACTAATGTGTAACTGTGAGAGGACACCTGAGGACCCAAAAAAGGAAAGACATGAGCAGATATGGAGTCGTGGGAGGTACGCCTCTGAGGGGACTGAGGCCCTTGGGGACCCCCGGTTGGGGCAGGGGCACTGCGAGGGCACTGTGGCCCCTGGGGAAACCCCACTGGGGCATCAGAAGAGAAGAGTGTGAGGCAGGAAGGCAAAAAGAGACCGTTGCATACCGACCCCAACCACCGGCATTGCCTGTTGCCTCCTGAAGGGCCAGAGTGTGAGGGGCGGCCAACTGAAGGGACAGGAACACCAGAAAGGAGGGAGGAGTGTCATGAGACTAAAGTTAAGCCTGGGGAAGGGAGGACAGAAGGCATTGCCTGAAGTATTTGTTTAACTGTTTATGTCCTCGTTGTGTCTCAATATGGAAATTAGTAATCAAAAGCTTATGTTAATTGGAAATAAATTAGGTGAAATTTAAGTGAAATTGGAAATAAATTAAGTGAATTCAAGGCCGTTTTGCCCATGACAGGTGAAATGTCTGTCATCGTATATGCACCTTCCTTATGGTGGTTTCTGCAATATCCCACTCTTCCTCCTATGAAACCTTCTCTGCTCCACATATATCATACACGAAAAAAATATTTGTATTTAAAAGAAAAGGAGTTTACATTTCCACCAATTTTCTCTTTTCCCTTTCAATTTGACATCTCTCTTAGGGATTGGCTAGGCTTTTGGAAATAATCAGAGCAAAGCAATTCTGCAAATTTGAAGTTTTTGTGTAAGAAGTGTACGATGACCCTGCCTTTAGGCTTAACAGTGCTCTAAGTAGGGCTATATTTGGTGGGAAATCCCAGCAGATCTTTCCGGCACTATTGTTTCTCTTTGTGCCAACTTCTACAGGGTTAAATCCACTTCAGCAGTGGCACAGAGAGATTTTCTGCATCCTGTCTTTATAAAAGAAAGTTCTTTTATATTAAATGTTATCTTAAGATTCTGTATAAAAAGTGCAGAAAGAAATTTATTTTTTATCGAAGCAGTAAGACATAAAAATATATGATAAGGGTTACATTCTTATACATCCTTGGATTACAGTAAAATACAGCTTATCTTAATAACATTGAATGAATTGACTCTAATTGTCTCCTTAATGTAAAAATATGCCTAGTATAATAAGAATAGAAGAGGCAGCCCACTGTGGATATAAAAATTACATTTTTCAGCTTGACTTTTGTGATAAAATTTCCCACAATGTATATATTGGATATTAATGGCAAAACCAATAGGACTGTGACTTCATGTAAATGAAATTAATGTATAATTATGTAGGAATTACATTGTAGTTTTCATGTATCCACTAGCACTTATCTGCTTTAATATCTGCATGAAATCAAACTAAAGTTTCACCATCTGAAGGGTAACGTGCGTGATTTAACTCTTTCAACAAACTTCTAAGAAAATAGCTGGGATCATCATTGCCAATAGCATGCTCAGAAGCTGTCCTTCTTCTCATGAAGAAGGACAAAAATAATGATATTGACTGATCAGCCAAAATATTTAGTATAGCATCCTAATGTCTATTTAAAAATCAATCCTTCAGCAGAAAGGTGAGATATTCTTGGAGATCCACCCAAGATGTTAGAGAGCTTAAACATGAAAAAATTCCAAAATACAGAGATCATTAGATAGTTCTGATTCCATGAAAGGTTGCCTTGAGACACACAGTCAGTCCTTCTTGGCTTGAGGTCTAAGGAAGCATATGTGGAGACAGTCAAATGATAGAAATCCTTTCTCAAGTATTCAGGCCATAAGAGGCTTCAGTCTTCATGCAACAGTAGAGAATTATATAGAATTCACTGCAAATCAAGAAATATTAATATATTCAGTACCTATTTGAGGCATTAGTATAGAAAGTATAAGAATTTGAAAAATGTTCCAGGTTGCATTTGTATAAAAAGAGATGATCAGTTCAAAATGCATAGAAAGTTTTTTCAGCAGCAAAAAATCTTACACATTTTCACATTATTACTTAAGAAAAACTTGAGTAGAGGTTGAGGCATAGATTATTTGTGCATTTATTCTCCTGTTTCACTCATATTCTAGCAGAAATCTTTGGAACTAGAGTCTCCTTTCCAGCACTATATACACCTATAACAACCTGGGGACCCTTTTTGGAAGAAAGGAAAGAATCAGTAAAGTGAAGGTACTTGTATTACATATGTTTTTTAATATGATTTTAACATGATTCAATAGAAATATTGTCATTACATGTTGGAAGTCTAGTTTATAAAAGCTTTAATTATCCTAATTTTAAGAACATAGATACTTTCTAGTATATTGTGAATATATCACAATTCTCTGCTGCTGACTTTCCACATCTGCTCAGACTCTTCTCTTACTGCGTCAACTGGAAGTTTTTCTGCTATAGCTTGGGCAGTTACACAGCCAAGGTCTATGAACAAGGTCTACACCAGAGACAGGTTAATATGTACTGGGGCTTGATGATCCACACATCACTCATTCTACTGTATGTTAAATCTGAAATCTGATATGTGCAAATAAAACATGTTCCTGTAGCCAAAGCAGTGGGGACTGTCCACAAGACTTGAGTACTGGGAATCAGTCAAGCTCACACAGTCTGGGTGACTGGGTTTCAGCCAGATCCTCACAGTTCACAACTAAGAAGTGGTAAGAAATCGTTTTCTTATTTACATTCCCATTCTAAATAAATGAGGGGCATTTAAACTGTATTCAGCTCTGCTTAGTCAGATATCTGTGAGGGAATTACTTTAATTCTAGCTAGTACATTCCTAAAAAATCTCCAGTGATTAAATGCCACATTTTTTTCTAGGCAATCTAATTCAGGGAATGACATCTAGCTAGAGAATTTTTTGCAACGTTTCACTTGCATCTCCCATGTGAATTTATTGGTGCCTAAGTATGCATCTGCTCCTCACAGAGGTTAAAGAAAACAAGTCAAAGAAAGAGTTGGTCTTATGCATGATGAGTAGATTTGCTAATAGATCCAAGGAAAATCAAACTACTTTATTTAGTTCACCCATTTTTCAACTCCATTTCCTGTGAGTCCATTAAAAGCAGTATCACTGCACTCATGCACTCATGTCTTTGGAACAGAAACTCCAGGATCTTATGGAACAACAGCAACAATAACAACAAATTGAAGGGAATAAGAGATCTGCATTGTCTTATACACTACTGTATATACAGTGTATTGTATATTCACTTATGCAATATTTCAGAACAAAGTGTAATTTTCCATTCGATGCTGAATTACTTTGGTAATCTTTTGTCCTTCTTCTATCTTCTTTTCCATAACAGTCTTTAATCAGTAAGAAACAAAATGCTTTCCTAGAATATGAAGCAAATAGAAAGATCAATGAAAAACATATAATAAAAGAAAGTTTTTTTACATGACTAGTAGTATTTCTGAAAATAAAGTTCTTAGAAACACTTAAATATTCTATTCTTCCTCTGAACTCTTTGAACATCTCACCACTGGGAAACCTTGCTAAACTGAGGGGAGAAAAAAAGATTATATAAACTAGGATGGTCCAGCTTTAAATGAAGCCCTGCAGGCTGTCTGCAACTGTTTAATTTATGGCTGGCTGATTTCATCATGGGGAGAAAGCAACACATGGCTTGTTTTCCTATGGATCATCTTTCTCACAATTCCTCTGTTTTCCCAGATGCTTCCAAAAGACATACATTGATGTTTTATCTACATATCTCTATAAAACTATATATAGGATAGCTTATTTTCCTTGTGGGAAGAGATTCTAGTTGTAGATGTTTAAATTAATCAAATAAACTAGTTTCATATCATTTCATAACTTATTCAATATTCAACCTAAATATTTTCATCACAGAGGAGGTTGTCACATTTGCTTAGTTATGTCTGAATTCTTCAGTTACCTCCTTTAGAACGGTGTCTGATTGTTTTGTGCACAAATTATAATTTATTTCTCTCCAGAGGGCATAAGCCTTTGTTTGATTTTGCTTTGGAAGTGTATAGATGTGGCACTATTGTAGGAAACAATAAAATTTGTGCAATAACTTTGCGGTCATCCTACAATCTGTCCCCTACATAACTTGCTGAGTCACAGACAGCCACCAAGAAAGCTGTCTTTTGAATACCCATGGGATCTACCCCTGAGGCAGATGATTTTTCTTTTCCATTTGAATGGAACAGCAGTGAGGATTTCACAGGATGAGATAATCCCAAAGACAGCTTAAACCAGACCCACAGAGAGGTCTGAAGGTGCAGATCTTACTCCTGAAAGATCTCACAATGAGCCTTCAAAGTGAACAGAAGCGTGATCGCAGGCTTGCGTTGCTAAGATGAACGACTGTGCTCAGAATAAATTGCGTTGCTTTAAGAACACAGCCTTCATGCCTACAAACAGAATTATAGCAAGCTGCCTAACAACTCATTACTGTATGACAGATTGCTGTATTACAACAGCTAAACCCAAACACAGTGAAAAGGGTGCAGTCATCTCACCTCCTAATCATTGAGATTTCCATTCACAACCATGTCTGGTGGTATCCAGAACCAACAAGGACTGCAAGGCAACCTGATGCTGAGATTTTGGGGACAAAACTCTCAAGGAACTTTCCAGTTATGAAGAAAGAAAATGCTTCAAAATCCTTCCCAGAAGGTTTAGTCTTTTATAAGGATTACACAGGAATGAAAAGAAAAATGAATAAAACTGTTCTTATTTATATCTCTAGATATCAGTAAATTCAGATTCATCTATATGCATCACGGAGTCAGTTAAAATCCGTCTATTAAGGAGTAAATAATTAAGAATACGAGTGTGATTAAACTTTGCTTTATAGGTTGATAGTATTAGAGGCCTAAGAAGTGTCTCTGCTTGTTTCCATTTGACATATGACTGACAATTTTCGGTGATCAAAGATAATCTCTTTATTTTGTTTTTTGTAAAGTTAAAGCTTGAGGGTATTTTTTAAAAACCTCAGAGTTCTTGGTCATATCTTACCTTTTAAAGTTGTCTTGGCACTAGAATGGGTTCTTCTTTGATGTACTGCACTTAAACTTAAGCACCTTTGCACGAGAAAGGAATGCAAAAACATATTAACAACAGTTTCTGAAGCAAGGATGTTTATGGATGATAAAATACAATAAAATATAGAACACCTGCAGGTCAAAAGTGGTGTTTCAGCTACAACAGTGTAAATTAAGCATGATCCTCAGCTGATTCCTGTGAAGGTAGCTATGCTTTTATAAATTGGAGAACATAGTATAATGAATGTTATCTTGTAATACAGGGAATATGGTCCACTTCTTTCTTTTTTAAGAGCATGCATAGAACAAGTTCTTGGCCACTGATAAATCTGACATAAGAACGTACAGCTTAGCTAAAGTGAAAGGATTGCATTTAGTTTCCATGAGTCTGAATGATTACCCAAGAGTTAAATTATGTGCACTTCTCTTCTGAACTCTTCAGTTTCTTTCAGTCAAATAGAAAGACTGTATAGGTGAAAAACACTTGTATTAAATTATGTATTTGAATGAACTTTAAGATTTAATGATGTAAATGTTAAGTGCAAAATTATGCACGGTAAAAGAATGCAGTGGTAATGTTCTGAAGTGATCATTTGTTACACCATAGCAACAAGCAGTGCATTCAAGTCTTCCAAGCCCTATAATATTCTCATTACACCTTAAAGGGGTCATCTGAAACTGAGAGGACAAGTTGGCATTTTAAAAGATGAAAGGAAGATGATCCATGTGAAAAATAACTAGTTCTGAAACTTTAGTAGAATGAGTATTGCAATGTTAGGAGTGAATGGGTTGGTACTGCTTTTTATCTCTAGAGTTTCTGGGGTTACTCACAGTTTTTATAAACTGCACCAAACAACATTGTATTTGTCATGATCATCAAAAGACCATGTGTGTCAGAAACTGAAAGAACTTTCTCTGCACATAGATTTGTGATCATGGAACATATTATCGGAATGACTGTATAGAGTCCTGTGAAAATGCAGTTAGCCCAGTTTCCTGACTCCAAAGTAGCCAACAGTGGATATTTGGGGGAGGAGGATTATCAAGGGCAAGATTAGTTCTGCAGGACTTTGTCTTTAATAGAGCTTCTACTGAAAATGTAATCACTTTTGAAATTATCCTTATGAAATGCTGTCATTCACAACATTCTGTACCACTGATTTCTGCAGTTTAGCTAGGCATTACATGAAAAGTACCTTTTGTTTGTTTTAGGCTGATGCCTAATAATTTAATCCAAAGCCCTTAATTCTTGCAGTTAAGAGAAACAAGAAGTAATCATAGGCATCTCCAATCTTTGGCTGCAGATGAAGGAGTAATTCTACCACAGAGTAATATAGGGAGGCGCACAGTACTTCTCCTCTTGCTTATTTTGTTAAGAAACTTGCAACATTCTTGAAGGTCATTCAATCTATTTATTAGAAATCAAACAACCATAATGTTCTGTAACTCAATTTCATCGATTTTGTTTTTAATTATTTGGGAGGGGAAGCTAAGAATAAAGATGTCTGTGCACATCTGTGTGCATGTGTTTTAAGTGCGTCATATAGTGAAGCTCTTTCCTGCAAGCAAACAGGAAAATTGAGTTCTGAAATTGGTGCATATTTATTGAACTTCTGACTTTAAAAACAACAGAGAGAACCGAACTTTTGGGAAGAGAGTGCCTCCTGCCTTTTTACAAAGAAAGGACTTACAGGACTTCCAGAATCTTAACAGTTTTCCTCTGAGAAAGCCTTCTACATTTGTTAAAGTTGAGACAATTCTCTTAATTTATAGTATCACTTAGCCCAGGAAATAGCTGTAAATGTGAGTACACTTATTCATGTAAATCAGCTGTTCTCTCTTGCAAAGGAATGGGTTAAAATATGACCACTACTTGAAAGTAGATGGTGATACTATGTGGTGTTTTGTAAAGATTAAAAGGTGAAATGGAAATAGAACTCTAGGTCAGATGGTACAATGTACAAGTGTTTGAAAGAATTACACATAGAAAATCATTTCTGTAGTATACCTCAATTTTTGAAGATGCATAGAAAGTAGCTGATTTTCCTGATAACTCTGAATTCTCATCTTTGTGTTTCCCTTAGCATTCTCTAGCTGTGTTTGGAGCGAAAAAAGTATTCTTTTTGTGTAAGTCATACTAAGCTCTTCCCATAATCCTGACATAATGATAACCAATGTACTGTGCAACAAACACTGCAGTCAGCTGCCTTTTTAAAGGGATAAAAAGCCATTTTTATTCAGCATAACCGTAGCAGTATGAAAGGAAATGCAGATGTGGGATTTACAAAGATGGGAAGGCAGTAACTTCTGGAAAATTAGAGAAACTTGAATTGTCAGGAATTAAATGTCTTTGGCCTCTATGACTGACTCCTCCTCTTTTATTATTTCTTCCTTGAATTCTTCTCAGTCATATTCCCTTCCTCCTTCTTCTACCACAGGTCTCATTTACTTCATTTCTTGTCATATTTCCCTGCTCTTTGAGAGTTAGCACAGACTTTTGTGTTGTTGCATAAATTTGCATTCAACTTCCATTGTCTCCAACTAGCCTTTAGTTCTCCATACCACCGTCTTCACTTGTATTCTGTTTCCAGTGGTATTCATACACTGTTCCTTCATGTCACATCCCAATTACAGCCATTGAATTGCACCACAGTCTACCTTATTTTGCTACAATTACCACTGTAAAACTTTAAAACTGTACTATGGCAACTGCAGTATAATACTATGCCAATTTTAATAGAGACAGTGTGGGTATAATTCCAGGGGAATAATAATACTGGTTTCTTACTCATAGTATCCACACGCTGATAGTGAGCTCATCACATCACAATAGAAAGGTGTTCTAGAGACAAGTGATTTAGTGGCTCTCATGTCACCTCTGACTAATTTATATCCAAAGATTTGGGTATTTAGCAGTAACACATTTAAGTCATGCTGCTATCTCTTGTGCCAGTTTACATCACTAGGGAGATACAAGATGAGAAATGTCTCACTTTCTCTCCGCTGAGTCAATCTGAGGTGCAGTATTAACTGTAAAGACTGGAGAAAATCATTAATAATTATCCTTCATTAATTTCCTGATGAATGCAGATTGTTAGAAGGGACAGAATGAGATCCAAGAATTAATATGCTCCCTTTAACATTGTTACTAACAGAGAAGTTGGCTAAAGGGTTCAGCTGCTGATAGTGATTGAAAGGTGCTTGGAATAAACTTCAAAGCTCATTGGAAAGTTTCTGTCCAAATTTTTTATAATGAAAAATTTTCCATGTCTTAATTTCAATTTTGTTTTAAGGAATTCTGAATACAATATTTTATTTTGGAACGAGTGAATTTCACTCTTGACATTTTGATTTGTAAAAATGAAATTAAAAAACATTTCAAGGGTGTTCAATATTTGCTTGCCCCACCTGAGGCACTACAGAGACTCACAGCATTTTCAGTTTGGATGAGTTACAGCCCTGTTTTACTAGGAGTAATCACTGATTGAATTATATCTCTCACAAAGCACTTTGGTTTCCGTTGTGGTTGAATGCATAACTAAAACTCCAAGACGAGACTGCATCATGAGAGATTTAACTTACCCAACATTTGGAGCTCGTAGTGCAATTGGAACTGTAATGAAGCCTCATGGTATTCAGGTTTGCATCAAATTGAGAAGAAAGCATCAGACAGTAGCTTGATGAACAAAACGAAAACTTTGTAATGGGAATACTCTTATCCATCAATTCTCCCACTTTTGAGACTAGGTTAATGCTTTTACAAGTCCTTTCTCTGTCCACTGGATGTTTTTGTCCTTTTCCCAAATGATCACATCCCCAATGGACCCATGAAAGTAACTAAGATTGAGCTGCTGGACAGCCAGAAATGCCAGACAAATAGCCATTACTCCTGTGCTTGTCAAGTTACATGCACATATCTTTCTGTTCAGAGTATCCCAGACGGTTTTCCCAGAAACTTTCAATTCCAATATGTTAGCAAGTATGAACATAAAAACTAATATTAGAATGATTCTAGTATTCATAAGTTTCCAGTGCAGGAGAAATGTTGATACTTTGCCGTTTCATTCTAAATCAGGATGAAAATAAGAGCAGAAATAATTAATTTCTTGTTAGAGGAAAACTCTGTCCCTAACTAGCTGCATTATACTTATTTTATTTAAGGAAGATGAAAAACTTCATAGATCAAATTTCATTAATTATGAAAATTCTCTAAAGATTCTGATTCAAGGAGGCAGAATTTTTGTAGTTCTTGCAGAATAGGGTAAGTAAATTAACATCAGGGCAGAAAACTCTTAAGTTTTATGTGACATAAGATGCAGTACAGACAACAAAAATAGGAGAGAACAGGACAACTGCTCCAGTTGATCCTCTTCAAGTTGACCAGGGATTAAAAAGCAGATTTCTAACATCACAGAGAGGATAACTGATAGGCTATATATAGGAGGATTACGCCTTGGTGGCTCCTCCACCGTATATTCAGTCCCTATCACAGAGTGTTCCCTGCAGTATCAGGACTGGTTTGTTGTAGTAAGGTAGCTGCAAGAACACCTTATTTGAGGATTCAGCTTCAGCTTGTGGAAGGTCTTCAAGCCAAGCTGAAGTTGTGAACCCTAATACCCAGGTAAGCTTGCACAGTAAACAGATTTGGGCATTACTTGACATGGTTTAAAGATGTCAGGGGCATCTTAGTAATGGAGGTGCCTAGATAAAGTCATATAACAAGCATATAACTGAGACTTAATGGAAATCAGCTTTCCTAAATGTCAGGCTGACTTCTTAACATTCTCTGTTCTTGTGATTCTTTATCTGCTTTGGGTTGTACAGATTTTTTGGTCGCCATATTATGAGAAATATTTTGGCAATAGCCAGGTAAAGCAATAAAAAGAACAGCAATGTGAAATAATAGATGTATTCAATCAAAGAGAAAGTGAGAGACCACAAATCATGCAAATCTAGAAAATAATAGGTAGACCTGAGCAGAGGGACATGATAATAAAAAGCATGATTATAAGGTATAAAATGCTATCAAGATATATCTTTGAAAGGGGTATTACTTGAGTTACCCTGAAAGAGCAGGATCTAAAAAAGTATCAAAACAGAGATCAAGAGCTGAACCAGCTCTTGAAGTTTACCAGGAAAAATACCACTGCCAAACCCATAATAAATCGGTGGAAGTTCACACTTCCAACAGAGTAGTTACGGTAACATAACCTATGTAAATAACCTATGTAGATTTTTCTTACCCTTTGTTCAGCCTGAACAAACATCTCTGCTAATAAAGGAGAGGTAGAGACCCAAAAAACGCAGCCATGCAAAGTTTGCCTTATGCTTCCTAGAGCCAGCAGGAAGAGATGGCAAGAATAAAGGTTTTTGATATGTTTTGCTACTTTTTAGCTTTTTCTATAGTAACAGTGTGTGGAAAACATTCAGTCACCATCCACTATGGGGATTTCACTGAATTTGATAATGGGATATTTCAGCACATCTTGAGTTCCGTTCCAAAGCCAGCCTTGCAATCTTCTGTCAATGAGCCTTTCTGTACAGCTCCTGCGCTTGTGAGCCATATGTGCCTTTATTTTGCATGGTGGCTTATCTGCAGGATATCTCAGAGGCATCCACGTGGTGATTTGGCAGCTGGATCATGAAGCGTATTGTGACCAGCTATTTTCAATGTTTGCATCAACTGCAAAGCAGAAATAAACACAACGATTATAAAAGAGAAATTATAATTGTTTTATTGTCAAGTGAAGGCAAAGTTGGGGACAACAGCTGATCACTTGTTTGGTATACTTTCTGGGATTAAGGATCTCTAACAGAAACCAAAGAACTTGCACGTACATTTGTGAAAATCAGCTTGGCTATTTGTGCCATAGCCCTGTAGCTGTCTGTGTTCACATGCTCCTTGCACTGGGAAGAGTGCCAACATGCCTATACATGCTGGATAAACAAGGGCAGTGAGCACGTTTAGGAAAATGACCAGGGAAAAAGCATTTTCATTTATTTACTGTCAGCATTGAAAAGCAACAAGGAAATGAAATATATCCACTGCCACAAGCATAAGAGGGATGGTACCCTGGGAATGGCATTCAGCAGCAAGCAAAAAGTGGTTTCCAGGCTGATGCCTTTTATATTATGCACCGTTTTTCAAAGTAAACGCACACCCACACAAAATGCTCTGAGTCGTTCTACCGCTACTGTTTAGCTACCTGGAATGCAGCTCCTAATAGCACAATTTCTTCCTCCAACAAAATAAAACCAATGGATTTACTAAAGAAACTAAATATATACAACAGATACTGTGTTTAGTCTAACAGCTCCTTCAGAAAAAGAGGTTAAAGAGCAGGTACTGATTTCAGATGGGTAAAAGACATGCTAAAATGCAAGTGAAACTTCTTAAATTAAAACAGTATGTTCTCAGAATGAAGTCCCTGATGTGTCCCGCACAGTGCTGTTTTCATTTTGTCAAGCAAAAGGATTAGGAATTTGTTTAACATTCCTGCCCATTGTATGGAAACCTAAAGTTCTGAATAGGTGGAACCGACAACATGCTCTAGGCAGGTGCCTGTTATGAACTGGGACTGTAGAACCCTTAATAAACATAGGCCTCGTTCTAAAACCCCCATTCTGTTGACTTTCACTAAAATTACATTGGGCTACATAAAAAAAAAAAACACAACATGATAACCGAATATTAGTTAGGAGTGAGTTAACACTAAACATCTTGATCCTGTCCACACTAAAGTTCTCTTGCACTAAAAGAGTCAAGCACTTGTAAAACAAATGACTCACCAAACTATTACTGTGAATATGCACCTAGGAAAATAAATCTTTAAGGGATCTAGTGCAGAGTGTATCGATATGAGATGCCAGGTACAGAGAGATCTTTGAGTACGGATGAATATGGACAAACAGCATTCTACTGTTATCTTGTGTGTTGATGATACAGTGAGAGATAGGTTATAGATTACTTCAAATATCTTTGACTAGCTTCTAAATGCAATAATTACAAGAATTATATATTCTGTTATAATCCAGCCGAATGCTTGTTTTAATCACTTCACAGTATGACATAATCCTTGTCCCAAAGGGTTTCCAAGTAAATATATGTATGACATATACAAAAATGGTCATATAATAGATATAATAATAAAGCAGTGAGGAAGGAATATGTGAGAAACAAAATTAAAAACATGCAAGATTTATTATCAATTCTAGATATGTTCATTTTACTTTTCATAACAAATTCATTTTTGCATCTGAGAGAGACAAGTAGGGGAGGAAAGAAAAAGCAGGAGCAGGTGGAGAGCTAGGAATAATACAGAATTGATCAAGAAAAATGACAAAGTTCCCAATGACTGTGATTAGTACTGTCACTAATAATCCATCGCAGCCATGGAATCTTGAAATGTTCCCGTATCTCCCCATGACAAGGACTGTGTCCATCTGCAAGAGCTGCTCTTTTTTTTTCCCCCCCTAAATTATGTGACTAAAACCTGTCATCATTTATTTCTTTCTACAAAGATTTATAGCCAGTCTGCAAAACAATTTCTACTCTAAAAATTGTAGTGCATTACCTTAAGTTCAGTTTTAGTGCACTATATTGATTTTTCTATGTGCAGTGTTAGTAAGAAACTTCAAAGTAAATGATTAAAGGACAGATTCTGCTATAACATTTGATAGCAATTTAGCATTTATTCTGACGGGTGTGTTTAGGGTGCTCTCTCTGCTCAATGATCAGTAACACAGGACCATACAGAGTTTTCACAGCAGAAGGCAAAATAAAAGGAACATAAAACCAAAGATATCCATGAGAAATTACTTAGATCCCTAAAGTCATATCTTTTAACTTTAACAATGCTTATGAGCTAAGCAAGACTTTGGAGTATTTTATGTTTTAATACTACAAAGTGGTAAGAACAGACCCAGGACATTAGAGTAGAGTTTTAATTTTAAGCCTTTGGAAAAGTGAATGTCTATAGTGGTGTATATGTCAGACATCCCTTTCATTAACTGCAAGCATTCTACTTTTTTAAAAACACTGTATTCTTCACAAAGGAAAAGTAAGAGGGTGGGAGACCTGCATTTTACGCCACATTCTCTCATCAAGTTTTTATGTGATCTTGGGAGAGCAAATTCCTTAACTTCCTTCACCTCTGCTTCCTTTCCTTTACATTGAAAAATATTATTTTTCTCCCTATTCTACTACTACTAGCAACAAATATAGTCATTCAAATTATCTCTATAAAAACCGTGCTTATCTTACAAAATTAGTTGAGTGAATCTATTCCCCTGCTTAAGGATAAATATATGCTAAAGATCTGTAAGGACTGAGGTAGGGTCAAGCCATAGGGAAATGAGAAACATTCCACACAAAATTTTTACTAATAGATGGTATGAGTAATGAGTCAGAAGCAAAAACAAAAACCCTATCCCCACTCCAAAATGTTACATTGAAGAACTCATGAAACAAATATTTTCTTTTAAACAAGGGAATAACTCTGCACAGATTCAGTTTACTCAGACTTCCTTTATTCTGCGATAGAAGACACGTCAAGAAATTAGGTACCGCTAAACTTTCATATGCAATAAATATATCCCTATTCCTCCTTCAGGAAGCCTGTAGATACAGGCTTGTGTATTTGATGGTAAAAGACATTCATGAATAGTCTATGTGGAGCTAGGTTGCTTAATTGTGATTTGTTATTGAAATTATTTTTGAATTTTGAAAGCAGGGGAGTGTATATATCACTAGTAAAAGCAACAACAACAACAGCAAGGACTGGTTAATTCAAAATTCAAACACATCACTTTGACAGTTGCATTTTAAACACATTTTCCAAAACAAATCAATTGTCCACAAATTGTGAAAGTGACTAAAATTTTTTAAGAAGTTTATGAAAATTTTAGTCTAAAAGTCAGAGAAAGCTCATTCTGTAGTTGTCTACTGTTAAGATAAATTTTACGTATAAAAGCAAGATAGTGACGTCCTTTTAAACTATTTATTAGTGGTAGATATAAAAAATCACCAACCGGCCTTAATTCAGCCTCGTTTGAGAGAGATTTTCAAAAATACTTACTCACACTCCTGCAAAACATTTCGTTTGTAGTGATTCTGAGATTTCCACAAGCCCTTGGTGTTAGAAAAAATAAATAACATGTGGATAGCAAACTCATAAAATCCTTTTAAAACAGAGGCATTTGTCTAAAACTGAACAAAAGGAGTTGCTTGCAAAGAAATGGACAGAGTGACCATGTCAAATGTGAAAAACAGAGACTTAACAATAGTGGGACACTATTATTACTATCAGTAAACATTTTACTCTGATCTTGTAAAATATCTCCTCATGAATTTGCAAAAGAGCTAACAACATAGGTTGTTCTTATAACAGTAACTTCATACTGCTATTACTTTCCCACTAAATAATCAGGTTGGTCTTGGTCTTTTTCCCTTTTTTTCCTCCTGGCTGGACGTTAATTTTCATTTTGAAAGACTTTGTCGTTCTGAAAATGCAGCACACAAGTAAAAAGTCAGGTTATGAAACCTTTATGTACTTGGATGAGCAGAGTCAGGCAAATATTATTAAATCTTTTGTAAATCTGGATCCCTTTCTGCTAGGCAAGGAATGCATGGAGAGTTAAAACACAGTTTCAAGCAAGGGAGTTTAACTACATTTTAATAGAATTATTCATTACTACTCGCCAACAAGATTTTCACAATCTGATCCAAAGTAAATAAAATGTATTTGGGAACCAAGCAGAAAAACATGTTCACAGACAATCCCTTCAGCCATATGCACACCGATGGAAATAACTTATGCTGATAAAACTCTCAACCCTTTTTATTTTTGGCAAGTATGCGATGATTCACTGGATAGTAAGAGCCACTAGGTGGCATTTGTGATTTATTACATTGGAAGCAATGGCTTAAAAAGATTTCGCCTAATCCTTGGGTTCAGGAGAACAAGATATTTAACATTCCAAGACATTTAATTCAAGAAAACCACTGCATAATTAGATAAACGCACAGAAATTTCACTTCCCGCTGTATCATTTGGAAATCTCGTTTCTGAAGTTTCCATTCAAACCCTAGACATTCTCATGCTTGTATTCCCTGACCCCACAGCACCAGCTTACATAAGTAATTACTTGTCTACAATTAAGCTGTAAATAATGCAATCACTCCATTCTTGTCCTGTCACTCTAGTCCCAACCACAACAAATAGGGCTAATCACATACTTATTCAAGTGTGTAATTATTCACAGTTAAACTTCTGTCACTTTCACCCTGTTTGGAAACAGCAGAACACAACCTGCAATTAGCAAACGTTACTGCAGGCACTTTTACTTGGAAATACGCCGTGGCTTCAGCACCTATGTGAGCAAAGAGCGAAAGCCTTTGATCTGGGATCCTGGCATGGTTTCTTTCCCTCGGGCTGCTCTACTACCAGCCCTCAATAAGTCAGAGAGATCAGTGAGTGATTATTATGTCAAAAAAGCCTACTGAAAAACATTCACATTCCCTTTCTCGGAAACTCTATATGCACCTGTATCATGCTTATATACATGCATATATATACATATGTGTGCATACATCAATGTGTGCCTGAATATGTGTGAAACGTTCGTATATGCATCTGTTTTGTTATGGAGGGATCAGTCACGATTCTACGTTTCAAGTTG